GGATTTTTATCTTAATATTTCTTATTTTTTACAAGTAATGGCGGCGATCAGCAACTTATAGCGGGACTGCGGGATTGTGGGACTGACATCTTCAGCGACACCAATAGAGTGATCAGTGCTAATAAAAAGCACTGACACTGTACTAATGGCACTGGGCAGGAAGGGGTTAACATGTGGGGTGACCAAAAGGGTTAAAGTGCTGGTCTACTGTGGGCTGTGTCTGTGTTTTACATGCTTTGCATGGTTATGCTATGCACATCCATGCAAAGCAGTAGGAGCTTACAGGGGAACAGTGCTATTTACAAAAAGTTCTTCCCCCCCCCCCGTTGGAGAAGTTCAGCAATCACTGGGCACTGGTGAGTAATCACCGGCTGGGCCCCAGTGATTGACAGCCGAGGCCACAAATGGCGGCGCGGGTAGGGGCGCTTGCAAGGCGTATATATACACATGATTTTGTGAGCTCCTGCCACCCTGTAACAGTATATCTACTATAGGGCGGCAGGAAACCGGTTAAGCCCTCATAAAAACCTAAACTGAGCAAAGCAAACATTTGATGTAAAATAAATGGATTCTAACTTCAAGAGGTTGTCTTCAGTGAAAATTACATGTCAAAATAATCAGATGATCTACAGATATAGGCAGCTGAATTTACTGGATATTCAAATCTCAACTGTAAAGAGCAAGTTTGACCTCAACCCCATTCCCTCTAAAGATAAAATAGAATAAAAAGGTTCACTGTGAGTCCTTATGCTGCAGAAGTGTGAAGTTACAACTTTATCACAAAATACATAGTCTTTTACACAACACACACCACACTTAAAGTGTTACTAAACCCAGGATCCTGAATTCACTATCTGCTCTCCCACAGTACACAGAACATTGAAGTGCAATTATTTTAGTAAATATAAACTGCTAAATACCTTTTCAGTTACAGCAGTCTTGTGACTTCTATCAGTGTCCAGACCAGCACTAGCTAAAGCTTGTAGGAGGAGTTTTCTGCTCTAGGAGGATTCAAAACCCCTGGCCAGCGCTGATTGGCCCTGTGTTGATCACATGCACTCTCCCAAGAAAAAAAAAAAAACTCTAGCAATACACACCAAACTGAACATGTGCAGAGTGTCTCCACACAATATGTCTTATCAGAAGATAAGAGGTGATTGCTTGAAAAAAGGGGAGGATCAGAGAAGTCAGGATCAAACAGCCTTTTTACACAATGCAGAGGATTAACCCCTTAGGTTCCACAGTGAGTATAACAAGCATGCTTTACTGTATATACAGACTGATTTTACTGTTGCGAGTTTAGTAACACTTTAAATAAAAGACATTTTTTTGGCATGATCAGTCATATTTTAAATATAAATGCCAACAAATTTCACAATGTCTTCCAGGGTATGCAAACTTTTGAGCACAACTGTATTTGTTGCATCTTATTGTAAAAGATACATGGAAACTCTATATGCCCATTCACACCTACACATGTGTGTTACCATGCGCTTTGCCTGCACACAGTGTAAATCCAGCCTGGTGGCCTGATTGCAGGGTCCTGGGTTTAGTAACACTTTAAGGATAGTGATCATATGAAGCCATTTATTATCACATAGTTGTTTGTCTCCTTTTTAAAGCCTAATGATAACAGAAATTACCCAAATGGCCATGATCAACAGTTTCCATACCCTGGAATGTTTGACCTTGGTAGAGACACACAAGGTGACACACACGGGCAATTAAAGGTTAATTTCCCACATCTGTGATTTTTTTACATTGCAATTAGTGTCAGTATATAAAATAGTCAGTGAGTTTGTTAGCTCTCACGTGGATGCACTGAGCAATGGGGAGCAAAAAAGAATGGTCAAAAGACCTTTTCAACAAGGTAAAGGAACTTTATAAGGATGGGAAGGGATATAAAAGATATCTAAAACCTTGAATATGCCAGTCAGTACTAATCACTTATTGAGAAGTGAAATGTTTGGGGATTTCTTGATAACAAGCCAAGGTCAGGTAGACCATGAAAGATTGCAGCCACAACTGCCAGAAGAATTGTTTGGGATACAAAAAAAAATCCACAGGTAACCTCGGAGAAATACAGGCTGCTCTGGAAAAAGACGGTGTGTTTTCTTTTAAAGGAGCACAATATGACGATACTTGAACAAAAATGAGCTGCATGGTTGAGTTGCCAGAAAGAAACCTTTGCTGTGTCAATGCCACAAAAAAGCCTGGTGAGGCGTGTCAAGGAGTTGTTGGGCATATTGTAACCAGACATTTTTGTGGCATTGGTGCCACAAATTTCACGATTTCTGCCAGGGTATGCAAATGTTTGCGCACAACTGTAGATGTCAACCAGCTGTGTGCAGCCACTGCATCCCAATTGACATCAATGGGATTGCCTGCATGGGGAACACCTATGCATCCTTGTGCAGGTAAACACAGCCATTCATAAGTCTACGCTCACCCATGTGAACAAGGTCTATATCGTCAGCTTTCATTAAAATGATACCTGATGATCTTGTCACAAAGGTTCTTTTTTTTGTTTAAAAAGTGCAACACTGTCCCTGTCTCCCAAGTGTGCTCATTATTTGTCATCCTATCTTTGAGGCTTCCAACTGAATCCCCATAAACACACATTACACAGGCATAGTCCTCTATTCTCACCATTAGTAAACCTACCCAGAGAAATGCCATGTAGCCATTGTTTTTTGTAAATGTATATAAACAAGTGATAGCAAGCAAGAGGCTACGTGAGATCAGCAACATCAAGATTCAACCAAAGATGAAAACACATACTCAATTTAAAAATGACAATTGGTTATAATACAAGGTGCTTCAGCACAACAAATGTCGTTCAGTTAGAATTTACTTTTACATTATTAACATCATAAATCTTATCATTTAGGTTTTGCGATCAGAAACATTCATATTGGGACTATTAGAAGAAAAATCCCATATCACAAAGTCAAGAAACAGGCAACCAGTGTAGGTCACAGCATGGGGTGGGAATTATAACCAAAGGTCAAGCAAAATGTCAGCAACAAAGCAGCCAATATCACATAAAATAGATCAAAGAAACTCTACAACAAGAGTTAAAATGGTTCCATGCTTTGATACTGGTGTCTTGTGGAAGCAGAAGTGTGCATCCACTAACACAATGGATGGAATAATTTAAGAATGGTCAGGACAGATCTGTATTGGATAGAACTGCACTGCTTACTGACCCAGTCTACTCTCTCCATTCAGTAAGGCTTTTTATTTTTTATTTTGTCAATGTATAGAAGTTCCTTGAGAGTTTCCATGGTAACAATGATTTCATCTTCCATACCACTCAGTTGACAACATGGTTCATTAGAATGGTCCACTCACCTCTAATTCTCCAGGGAACAGGTCTCTGACATCCGTATGTCAAACGATTAGAGTTGAAACAGAAATGTGAGATTGTAAGATGTGTTGCTGTGTGGTTTAGCAGTCATGATATCACAGAACAAGGGTTTGTCTTTAGAGACTTCTTGGATGAGAAAGACTTTATTTTTAACTCCCAGATCATGCTTGTTGCAAAAACTGTAGTGATGGCTTAGATTTCAAAAATCCATTTTGGGAATTCTGTTGGTACTACTACTCTGACACTGCTGTTCAAAATATAGTTTATGTTCTTCATTTTATGCTAAGTTTCTTACATTCCCAGTGCCCTACGTACAACACAAAAAAAGAAGAAAGTTGGCCAATATCTATATACACCCTGGTATTTTAATACATGAATCTAGGAAAATAAAATGGGTCTGGACACTTATTTTATTTTTTTTTAAGTTTAAACATTTTAAAATTGTTGTTTTATAATATATAATATATAATGTGTGTTTTTTGACAAATATATATTTATTACATGATAGGTGATTCTAGAGAACTTTGGGTTTAGGACAACATAGCTAAACCGCTTACTTTGAGGCATAACTTTTTTTACAGGAACCTTATACTAAGAGGTCAGACGAAGGATGGGTCACTGCTGAGTCATTAAATTGCATCAATAATACATTTATTTAACCAAAGAAGTGAACTGAGGATTTAAAAAAAAATATTAATACTCCTGACCATAATAAAGGTTGAAATAATGCATTGGGAAATGAATAAGGAGAAGTGTAGGTGTTGGGGAACTTCACCCGTGACAAGCATGAGCGCCTACAGAGAAGAAGACAGCAGAACAAAAATGTGCATGTGCTGAGGAACCTGGCCTAGTTGCCAATAGGTAGCCGAGCTTGCTTGCACAGAAATGTGTGTATGCGTACAAATGTTCGTGTGCGATGGATGCACTATATAAGGACAGTGGTTGCACTTAGAGTTTGCTGGATGATCTTCAGCTACCAGTACTCCTTGCTCTTGTTTGTCCTGTATTCCTTGGGCCTCCTGTTCCTGAGTGGGCTTGCCTTTCTCTTTTCTTCTGTCCCTGCATACAGAGCTGGCTTGCTCCGAGGATGGCTGCCGTCTTTTTGTGCTAAAAAGATTCCAGGCAGATTGCTTGAGAGACTCTTATAAGGACTTATTGTACACCAATGCATTTACATACCCTGTTTTAAGTATTTGAATGCCAATATTGCCATTATCATCTTTTACTTTATAAATTTTATAATTTTTATCCTTTTCACCCTTACACTACTTTACACCTGTGTGCCAGAGTTACTCGTTTTTTACTATAAGTCTTTCTAGAAGAAAGTTAGAAGATAAGAAGAACTGCTGAGAAAGATAGTCTTGTTTGGGTTGTGCTTCGCTTTCTGAACTGCTGGGACTTGTAATTTCATATTGACACTGGCACTCTGCTCTTCTCTCGGCTCTCCCTGTGACTGTTGCCTGTGTGGTCATGAAGCTGCGGCCAGGACAACACATCCCTCCGAGGACCCATGATGAGTAGGTGAAGTCCCTGAATTGCTGCCCTGTACCCCTGGACTTTGCTGTATCAGTCTGTGGCCTGCAACTCACTGTGCCTGGATGGATTTTTTCTTTGGACTCTGGATCAGGGGCGGACTGACAACTCATGGGGCCCCCAGGCAATAGGGGATCATGGGGCCCCTGTGTCCTTGCCCAAACTCAAAAAAGCCTATGAAAAAGGTACCAGGGGCATCTCATGGGGCCCCCTACTGACCCTGGGCCCCCGGGCAGTGCCAGAGTTTCCAAATGGTCAGTCCGCCCCTGCTCTGGATTTAACCCTGCTCTGCCTGGAACCCTTTGCCCTGTGTGCTGGACTTAACTATGCTTGGACCTTTTGCTCTACGTGCTGGACTTAACCCTTTGTCTGCTGGAGACCTGCCATCCCTGTAGTGTGGTTTAGCCCTGTGTTACAGATTTACCCCCCTCTGCCTGACAGAACTCTGCTTTCCTTGCCTTTTAATAAAAGCCTTGTGTGTATTCCTGCTCTGTGTGTGTTCTGTTCCATCCACACCTCCGTTACAGTACTGATATTTAGATTTGTTAGGAGAAGCATGGGATAGTACAAATAAATGGTATTCATTACTCTCACCACAGAACAGATTTTCTTTCTTTCCACTGTTGCTCCATTTATACAGCGTCTCCAGTCCAAGTGCTGGTTAGGGATCAGTAACGGTCCTCTTCAGATTTGAAAGTTTAGAGGGGGCGTATAAATACAAGTGAGCACTAAAGAGACAATATAAAGCCGCTAGCACAAGAAATGAACTCCTTCATCTACAAAAAATGAACATATAAAAGTGCAGCGCTAGATGATCAATTAGATGTAAAGCATAATATAAACATAATATATGCTCATAAGTATTATATAACACCTATATGTGAAAGTCCCAAGCAGGGGCGGACTGACAACTCATAGGGCCCCCAGGCAATAAGGGATCATGGGGCCCCTGTGTCCTTGCCCAAACTCAAAAAAGTCTATGAAAAAGGTCCCAGGGGCATCTCATGGGGCCCCCTACTGACCACGGGCCCTCGGGCAGTGCCCGAGTTTCCAAATGGTCAGTCCGCCCCTGGTCCCAAGTGAAATGTCCTGGGTGAAACAGAAAATTATACAGTGATACGGTGTGATGACCAGTAATCAAAACAAACGTGCCATCCTTGTGGGCAAGAAAACATCCGTGACAGACAGTCACACTACAAACCATTAGAACTTCCTCTAGCTGCAGCCTAGTAATAGGAGGATTATTCATTTACTTGCTACACAAACATTTAGTATGGTAATTTTTTTTTTCATGCATTAGGCAATGTGAAGGAAAAGCATTAAATAAAAAGATTTTCCGTCATAAACATATGGTAAAATGCCCCAAAAAGCTTCATGCATGTGTCTTTTGCATTTACCATTTTAAAGGGCCCCCATAACAATGTTAAATGCACCAAAAATCATAAGTAATTTTCCTATAGCGTGCTTAGCTGAAGCATATACATAGATGTGAACTACCCTACTTGAGATGTGGAAATTAACAAACCAGGTACAGGCTTTAGAAATTGTTTTTACCATTTTAGAATATGAATACTGTTTCTGAGCTTGTTTCTTAAATAAAAGAAATTTGCACAAAAAAAAAAAAATACCTCCTGGCATTACATTAGTCACTCAATGTTCACCATTTTTAATTGACATCTTCCATCATCCAAACAGAACTTATTCTGTATTAAGACCTTCAGGAATAATGTGTTGGTCTAAAATTCTACAGAATTGGGGGAAATGGAATGGTCTATAATTCTATAATGTTTTACAGAAATGAGGCACTGTGAGCAAAAAGTCAAAAGTGCAATATTCAGGATTTAACAGATGGTTGAAATATTACTGTCAAGGATCCCAAAAGGGCTGAAGCACCCTCAGGCACTTAGGGCTCATGTACACGGGGCGTTTGGAAAACTCTTCTGAATGATGGAAACTGACTGCTGGAAGACATAGCTTAAAACACGTCAGTTTAGCCCCATTTGCATACCGCATTTATGCGCATTTAGAAGCGTTTTTAAAAGATATTCTCAGGAGACCTTCCGAAATGCCCAGAATGCTCTGAAAAACAGTAAAAAAATTAACTATTTCGGACATTCTGGGAGGAATAGAGAGAGCAGAAGCAGAGAGAGCAGTATGTGTTGAGATGACCTGTCTTTTCTGGTTGTATTCACTATGCAGCAGATCCCATCATGACATCACAGGGACCGGGAATAGGAACCGGAGAATCGCCAGAGGAGATGGCCGGGGACGCTGCAGGGGACACATTGCGGAGAGCGAAGGACATAAGGTAAGCATAATGCGGCATGTTCTAACATTTTTTCTTTCACGTGAAACCTGAAACTGACTGCGCTGGTGTACCGGATCCATTTGAATACATGGAAAACACTTTGCATGCATTTCCGATGATGAAAAAAGGGTCTGCACAGCATCTGGCCATAGAACAGTTAAAAAATGCTTCTAAACGTAAACACAAATGCGGTTACAAGCGTTTACAAGCATTTACAAGCATTTGGCGTTTGAAACGCTGGTAAAATCTACTCCTGAACGCAAGTTTGGTGCGTTAAAAAAAATGACTGTAAACCTCAACTGCCTGTAAACGACGATGTGTACATAGACACAAAGGAAAACTTTAGGGAGAGTTCAGGGGCTGCAAAAAAATTGCTGAACAGCTCCTGAACGTCATATTAGGAGCTGCAGTGTACATGAGCCCTTAGACTGAAATGCTTGGGTACTGTCAGATATCATGACACGAAGTAAAAGATACTTTTGCCCATTCTCCACATCATTTCCTCCCTCTCCTTTCTTCTTTCACATTTTGTTTACTCCTCTTTGGTCCTTTTCCACCCCTTTAGACTTGAACCCTAAGGCCCCATGTAGACGGGACGTTTCTGAACGAAGGAAATTGACTGCTGGAAAACGTAGGTTAAAAAAACAGCTGTTTTGACACATTTGCATAACGTGTTTATGCATGTTTATGCGCGTTAATGTGCGTTTGCATTTAGAAGAGTTTTTTAAAGATAAGCACAGGAGAACCTCCCAAATGCCAGAATGCACTGAAAAGTGGTAAATTATTAACTATTTCAGACTGTTTCAGAGAAATATACTCAGTAGAAGCAGAGACAGCAGTATGTGTTGAGATAATTAGGTGTGAGTTGCTCATTAACATTTCTTTGTTTCCAAGGGTGGGAAAGGCTGGAGTAAGTCATTAAGGTCACCTGGCAGGGGTTCTTTATGAGGAATTTGAGGTGTGAATGGTCATTAACATATCTTTTGTTTCCAAGGGTGGGAGAGGTCTGAGGTGTGAATTGGTCATTACAATGTGTGACAAGCTTAGTAGGAACATCCTGTGTTCAGTGTTTTGTCCATCTGAGCACCTTGAAAACTCTTTGCATGCAATTTTCATGATGAAAAAAGGCTCTGGACAGCATTGGGAACTGGAAGAGTTAAAAAAAATTTTCAAACGCAAAGGCTTAGAAACACGATTTGCCCCTTTTACAAGCGTTTACAAGCATTTTGCGTTTGAAACGCTGATAAAATTGAAGTCTGAATGCAAGTTTGTTGCATTAAAAAAATGAATGTAAACTCAACTGCCTGAATACGACTGTAAATGAAGATGTGTACATGGACATGAAGGAAAACATTAGGGTGAGTTCAGGGGCTGCTGAAAAAAACCACTGAACAGCTCCTAAACGTGAGTTTATCAGCTGCAGTGTACATGAGCCCTAAGTCACCGGTCACACAGCTGCAATTCAAAATCGATTTGTGTGCGATTTCAGCGCAATTTCAGGTGCAATTTCTGAAGACTTTATTGCGACTTGTGAAGATTTTCAACAATTTCTTTTGATTTGCTTTGTGAATTCCATTATAAACTGCAGAAAAAGCAATGCAAGAGCTACTTTAGAAATCACACTGCAGCAAATCGCACGTGTTAAGACACTGACATTCACATTCATTAGATGTGATTTCTGGTGCAATTTCGATTCACAAATCACACCTGAAATCGCACCGTTATGACCAGGCACCTAGCCTCGACTTTTGCTGATACCCAAAAGGACTATGCAATCTCACTGCTTATTGAATATCTAAAACACATGAAATTAAGTTGATATTTGATAAGTTTTTATTTTTGGTTCAAAAGAAAAATATAGGGGTAGATTTACTAAAACTGGAGAGTTCAAAATCTGGTGCAGCTGCGCATAGTAACCAATTAGTTTCTAACTTCAGCTTGTTTCGATTAAGCCTTAATGAAAAACTCACAGATGATTGGTTTCTTTGCAGAGCTGCACCAGATTTTGAACTCTCTAGTTTTAGTAAATCAACTGCATAGTCTTTTTTTTTCTAAAATATATGTAGCATCCTCTAGGGGTGCTGGTGAGGTAAATTTAGTTTGGCTCACAGAAGTAACTGAAGTGAGCATATCTGTTTGGGTTTACTTTAGGCAGGCTGGAGGGCTCTACAGGTCAGGCCTCTGACACCTCCACCTGGTTCTGGAGTCTTCCAGAAGATTCTAGAAGCTAGTGGGCAGAGGGGTGGAGACCAAAATCTGCATATTCATGGAAGTCTGGCCAATCCCAAGCAAAAGGCCTGGCAATGTGGTAGACGGGCCCATAAATACAATAGAACCTAGCCAGCATGGGAGTCTGGTGATTGGGTGGAAGATGGTGTGTTGAGGATTGTGAGGCCTGGCAGGTGGCCCCAGGAAAGCGGGGGCTATGCCTTCAGGCTAGAGCTGAGAAGGAAGGAAGGAGGGAGGGAGGGAGGGAGGGAGGGAGAAGAAGAAGCTACAAAGAGGGAATTTCACTACAAGTCCTATCCAGAAATCACCTTGCCCAGAATGGAAAGACTAGCATAGCTAAAAAGGCTTGAGCAAGCAGTCCACAGCAGCAGGATACAAGGGACAGTGTGAGTACCTCTACACCCCCAGGGCCTTACAAGGGAGAAGGCTGCTAAATGCAATATCCAGTATGCTTTCAAGGGGACAAGGCTGGCATCTTCTCACCAAGTACTGGGACTTTGTGAGATTTCAAACAAGGGGACCTAGTGCTCCTTATCCTCCCCAGTGGTCTGATTATGTCCATATTTCTGTGCTCAATGCGGTACTTTTTTTTGCATGGAAATATGTATTTTTTTTATTGCAGGCCTGTAATTTTTAGGAATAACTCACTGAAATCTGTCCGAACAAGAGTCTAGTATACATCCCGAATAAAACTTGAAACACAAAATCATAAATTATAATTTAATAAATAATTATAAAAAATAAATAATATAATAATAATACATTTAATTCAATAATATAATTAAACCAAAAACACTGAAATTTTAAAAATAGCGCCAAGTTCACACATCACTGAGCAAAGTCGCAAAATCGTTTTCAGTGTCTGATGACGAATTTTTCCACAAATCATTATCACTCAATTCTGCAAGTGGTTCTGATTTCCTATCGCTGTTCTCTAGTTGGTCTAAAACCGCTTTTGACCTAAAGGGACGCTTTTTGGACGCCATAGATGTTTCTCAGTTTCCAGGCAGAAAGAACAGTAAAAATGCAGGCAGGGCACAGGACAAAGCACTCGGGACAAAATATATGTGAAATGGTTTGATACAGTAATGTTTCACTATGTGATTTTAGTGAATGTCACTTTTTGTAATTTTCAAATTTCCCGCCGTTCCGTCCCCCGTACATCTTGACGCTTGCAGGGAACGGAACCCAGAAGACAGATACTGGCATCCGCCGGATTACATTGCCGGGGACACTGTAGGAGGGACATCGCGGGAGCGCAGGACAAGGTAAGTGATCGAGAGATCCCGGAGCAACACCGCATGGTAAGCTGTAGCCATCATTCGGCTATAACGTGGTTAGCAAGTGGTTATATACAATATGAGGAAATCTATTTAGACATTTTCACCAACACTTCAAATTTGTTGTTATTACATGGATAGCTCATTAATTTTCGATTACTATGCTTGTTTATATTATCTATGTATTGCTCTAAATTCTGAGTTTATAATAGTATTTTCTTTAGAAAGCTAGTATTACTATGCAGTTACAGAGCATAATTATTAATGGCAGATCTTGTTTTTTCATATAGTACTTTTTTTTTTTTTAATGGACGTCATTTAAAAAAAAAATGAAATACATGGAGTCTTATGGTGCATGAAAATAGGTTGTCATATTAATACACCTCTTGTATGGTGAGCCACCACTATGCACCAATCAGGGAGCAGGTTGCTTCACATTACAACTCAGATTACATCTGTTTTAATTTGATATATGCCTGTGAGCAGTGAAGTAACACCTTTACAAAGAACCTGAAGCAAAACAGGATATTAAATTAAATGCACTAGAGCCATATAGTCATGCTCTGTATATCAGATAATGTTTCAATGTGTTCAGAGATGTGCGTGTAAAAATTCTATATTTCATAAAATTGGTGATTTGAACTTGCCTGGTTTATAGGTGAAAGTCAAATTACTGCTCAAGTCTGTGTATACTGTAACAAATGAATTAAAGTGGTTCTAAAGGCTGAAGGTTTTTTTTACCTTTCTATGCATAAAGTGTACAGCTCCCCCCGCAGTCCCTCCACCTTTTTTATACTCACTTTAGCTCCCTCTCGATCTATCAATGTGCATGAGAGCAGAAGCCCACCTGAGTCTCTCCCTCCTCATTGGCATAAGAGGTGGCTCAGGAGTGAACATGCATGAGTACCCCCTGAGCAAGCAACTGGCTCTGGGGGGTGCTCAGCAGGGGTGAGGGGCCTGGAGCGCAGACGGGGGACCTGCGATGAGGAGGATCGGGGCTGCTCTGTGCAAAACCATTACAAAGAGCACGTAAGTACATGTTTGTTATTTAAAAAAAAAAGAATGTGAACCTTTACAATCACTTTAAGTGTCCTTGTGGTCTTGGATATCTAGATCAAACATCATGTAAGGTATTAGTGAATAAAGGTTCAATGTACTGCAAAACAATTAAAAATCACCTTTAGCTAAGCAGTCTTTGGAGGCAAGGCATCATGTGTCTGAGATAGCAGAAGTAAAAGTGGCTGTAAGCCCTTACCCGCGAAGTGACTGGCTTCAGGTGATACACAGAGATGAAACAAATCCTCCTGCATAAGTTGTAGCTGTTTATACCATTCAAAGAGCTTAATTTTTTAAAGTTTGTCTGAGAGTTCAGAGAAAAGGGGGCGAAGAGCTGAATTTACACTCTGCAGAGCATAGGGAGGAGAGCTTTGAGAGCTGATTGGAGGGAAGGGACACCCCCCCCCCCCCATCACACAGCACACAGGAACAGAGCGAAGGCTATCAATCTGCTGGAGGTCCCTCCCCTGTCACCATTTTTCTGTTGGTGTCAGGAAAACATGTCAGAAGTGATTTATGATGAGCAGAAAAATGACACTCAGTGCTCTTAATTGAGACAACTATAGTACACACTATAGAGGGGTAAGCTATGTTCATATTTCATGTCTGAGGTTTACGACCACTAAGTATTTTAACCTCCTCGGCGGTATGATGCTTTCCGATTTTTTGTGCTGAAAGCGGTACCATTTTTTTGCATGGAAATATGTCGTTTTTTATATTGCAATTTTTAGGAATAACTCACTGAAATCTGTCCGAACAAGAGTCTAGTAAACATTCTGGATATGATAAAACTTGAAACACGAAATCATAAATTATAATTTAATAAATAATCATAAAAAATAATAATATAATAATAAATTTAATTCAATAATATAATCAAACCAAAAACACTGAAATTTGAAATATAGCGCCAAGTTCGCACATCGCTGAGCAAAGTCGCAAAATTGTTTTCAGTGTCTGATGACGAATTTTCCCCACGAATCATTATCACTCAATTCTGCAAGTGGTTCTGATTTACTATCGCTGTTCTCTAGCTGGTCTAAAACCGCTTTTGACGTAAAGGGACGCTTTTTGGACGCCATGGACTTTTCTAAGTTTCCAGGCAGAAAGAACATTCAAAATGCAGGCAGGGCACAGGACAAAGCACTAGGGACAAAATATATGTGAAATGCATTGAAACAGCAATGACAGCAAAAATGACATTTTTTAAAAATTTCAAATTTCCCGCCGGTTCTGACGCTCGTACGTCCCGACATCACAGGGACCGGAACACGGAAGCCGGATGGAGGAGGAGATGGCCAGGGACGCTGCAGGGGACACATCGCGGGAGCGAAGGCCAAGGTAAGTGCTGCAGGGACCCCCAGAGCAACGCCGCATGGTAAGCCCGAGTGTAGCTCGGGGTTACCGCTCTTGGTATTGAAATTTTACCTCGAGCTACACTCGGGAAAACCACTAAGGAGGTTAAAAAAGATATGGAAGAAGATTTTAATTTATCTGCATTCCATTCACTTTATTTATTAGATCTCTCCATGTGAAAGGACCAGTTACATTTAATTCTTACTTTTTTGTTTGTACATTCAACCCGTTCATTACTGGGGCTATCACAGGGACAGAGAAAGGGCCACTTTCTGACATAGAGCTAGTGGTGCAGTATGGGTGCAAGCTTAGACTTCTGCAGTAGGACCAGGGGAGTTGCTAGTTCTAGGCACCCAGGCCCCATGCTTCCCCTTGGCTACTCCAAAACTCTAACCTGTCTCATGACACATCACGAGAGGGGATCTGAGAGGAAGGACATCTCCCCCCATTGAGCCACACTGTACCTGAGATCTGTACATTTCAGAAAGGGGGAGGTACATTGTCCTGGGATGGTGGGGGGATACAATGACTTAAGAGGATAACAAAGATTTTCCTGGGGGGGTGAGAGGATTTATGTTGGGGAGGAGGAGCTGTGATAACAGGGGGGATTTGGAAGAGAACAGGATTTGTACTAGAAGTGAGGGTTTGAGGTGGGTAAGAAGGGGTTTGTGCCAAGAGGGAGTTGTTTTTTTTTTTGGGGGGGGGAGGAAGGATTTGGGGGATGATAATTCATGCTTGAAGGGGGGATTGGGGAGTGGAGAGGATTTGTGCTACAAAAGGTCGGGTTTTGGAGGGGAAAATGATTTGTACTAGAAGTTTGGGTTTGAGGATTTGTGCTGAGAGGAAGGATTTGGTGGGATGAGAATTTGTGCTAGAAGGGAAGATTGGGGAATTGAGAGGATTTGTGCTAAGAGGGGGGATTGGGGGAAGGATTTGTGATGGAAGGAAGGATAAAGATTTGTTCTGGGAGGGGGGATTGTATGGAAAGGAGGTGTGCTGGGAGAAGGGGATTGTAGATACTATAGGTTCAGTCTAATGAGTATCCACTTAGCTTAGTAAAGGTGAAACGATAATCACATTGAATACTCAACCACACTCAAGAGAAATGAAAACATCAGGTTTTTGTCTACATATGATTGAATGGCTGAATTGACCACAACTTCATCCTATTCATTAAACTAAGTGAAAAGTTCTTATTCCTTTAAAAACCAAAGTCTTTGTGTTTCAGTTTTCTAGTTAATACTGTATGGGACACTAACACATCGAATGTAACATAACCATTACCATGATGCCACAGTCTGTAACATGTGGCTGAATGATACCATTACTAAATAAAATAGACAACACCCAGCACAGAGTTACAATGTAAAGGGCATAATATATTGATGATTCAATCTCTCTGCACCAGTAGTTATTGACCTGAACACCCGACGTGTTCTCAATGCATGGGACTCGAACTTGTAAATTCAAAAGTGCTCATTTTGAAGGCTTATATGCAAGTCATTGGCCATAAAAGGGGTATGGGGACTCTAGTACTGCCCTGAGGGACATGAATCAGTGAAAAAACAATGTGAAAAAGCACTGTTTTTAAAGAAGCAGTCTTTTTTCACTGCTTAAAGTAAAAAAAAAAAATGATATTGATGTTTAACTGCCTCCCGCTCGCCATGTAAGGCAATGACGGGCGCAAGGCGGTTCTCTCGTTCTGGGAGGACGTCATATGATGTCCTCCCACTCTAACTGCATGTGAGTGGCTCCGGGAGCATGCAGGGTGGTGATCGGCCCTGCGCTGTGTGTCCCTCGGACACAGCAGATCACCGAAAAGAGCCGAAGATTTTGGCTCGGTCATGTGATCAGCTGTGTCCAATCACAGCTGATCACATGTAAATAGGGAAATGACAGTTATCGGCATTTCTCTCTTCACGAGCTGTCATGCTGACAGCTCGTGAGGAGAGGAGAGTTGGTAATCGGCATTCCTCGGAGGGGACATGTACACTGATCATCAGGGCACTGATGATCAGTGTGCCCTGATGATCAGTGTAGCCCCAGCAGTGCCACCTGTCAGTGTCCATCAATGCCAGCCAGCTGTCAGTGCTCATCAGTGCCACCTGCCAGTGCCCATCAGTGCCACATCAATGCCACATATCAGTGCCTACCAGTTCACATCAATGCAAAATATCAGAGCCCATCTGAGCTGCCTTTCAGTGTCACCTATCAGTGCCCGTCAATGCCACCTGTCAATGCCAGTCAGTGCCACCTATCAGTGCTGCCAATCAGTGCCATCTATCAGTGCCAGTCAGTGCCACCTATCAGTGCTGCCAATCAGTGCCATCTATCAGTGCCAGTCAGTGCCACCTATCAGTGCCAGTCAGTGCTGCCAATCAGTGCCATCTATCAGTGCCAGTCAGTGCTGCCTATCAGTGCCACCTAACAGTGCCAGTTAGTGCCGCCTATCAGTGCCAGTCGGTGCTGCCTATCAGTGCTCATCAGTGCCACCTATCAGTGCCCGTCAGTGCTGCCCATCAGTGCCGCCTATCAGTGCCAGTCAGTGCCGCTAGCAGTGCCAGTCAGTGCCGCCTATCAGTGCCATATATGAGTGCTGCCTTTCAGTGCCCATCAGTGATGCCTTTCAGTGCCCATCAGTGCTGCCTATCAGTGCTCATCAGTGCTGCCTATCAGTGCCCATCACTGCAGCCTCATTAGCGCACATCAGTGAAGGAGAAAATCACTTATTTACAACATTTTAAACAAAAAACTAAGAAAAAGCTTTTTTTCCCCAAAATTTTCAGTTGTTTTTTAGTTTTTTTAGCAAAAAATAGAAAACCCAGAGGTGATTAAATACTACCAAAAGAAAGCTCTATCTGTCTCAAAAAAATGATAAAAATTTCATATGGGTACAGTGTTGCATGACCGCGCAATTGTCATTCAAATTGTGACAGCACTTAAAGCTGAAAATTGGCCTGGGCAGGAAGGAGGTATAAGTGCCCTGTAGGCAAGTGGTTAAATATCATGCCTGGGGGGTCCCTTAAACTACCTGCAAAGTTGCATATATTTATGATGTATAGAACCTGCTCTGCAGCAGGACTGACATATTTTTAAATGACAGCTTATTTTTAAAAAAAAAAAAAACAGCGTGGAGCCCGCCCCCCCCCCCCCCCCCCAAGCCTTACCAGGCCCCACAGTAAAAATTAAAAAATAAAAAGCGCATGTGGTTCCCCCTTAAATGTCATACCAGGCCCTTTAGGCCTGGTACCAGGACTTTTAAGAGGAATCCCACCCCCAAAAAATGGGGGGGAAAGCATGGGTTCCCCCCTAATACCTTTCCAGACTCTTGATTCGAGCACAGGCCTGGCAGGGCAGGAAAGGGGGGCGATGATCGAGCACACCCCCACGCGGCTTTCCGGGCCATGTGCCCTCAGCTGATGGGGACAAGGGCCACTAGCACAGGGTTGTGGGGGGTCTGCAGGCAGGGGGGTTTATTAGGCAATTCATTAAAGGGTTAAGTTCAGTAAAAAATAAAGAGACCAGTCTTTTGAAAAACTCTTTTAATTGATTTGAACATCAAGCCCAACACTATTCACCAGATGCACCTAATGCTACTTTCATTTAGTTGAAAATGCCATCCCTCTTCTGATTTACATCAGGGCTCTGTCTTCTGAACAAACATCATCATCATTGTGAGTGAGGACAAGCAGGGAGGAGTATATGGAATATGGCATAATTCTGATCCATAGATACAGTGAGGAACAGAAGTATTTGAACACCCTGCGATTTTGCAAGTTCTCCCACTTAGAAATCATGTAAGGGTCTGAAATTCACATTGTAGGTGCATTCCCACTCTGAGAGACAGAATTAAAAAAAGATTCAGGAAATCACATTGTATGATTTGTAAAGAATTTATTTGTCTTGCACTGCTGAACATAAGTATTTGAACACCTACGAAACAGCAAGAATTCTGTCTCTCAAAGACCTGTTACTGTGCCTTTAAAAAGTCCACCTCTACTCCACTCATTAATCTAACTTAGTAGCACCTGTCTGAGCTCTTTAAAGACACCTGTCCACCCCACAGTCAGTCAGACGCCAACTACTACCATAGGCAAGACCAAAGACACCAGAGACAAAATTGTGGACCTCCACAAGGCTGGAAAGGGCTAAGGGGCAATTGCCAAGCAGCTTAGTGAAAATAGATCAAGTGTTGGAGCAATTGTTAGAAAATGGAAGAGGCTAAAGACGACTGTCAGTCTCCCTCGGACTGGGGCTCCATGCAAGATCTCACCTCGTGGGGTATCACTGATAAGAAAGGTGAGGAATCAGCCCAGAACTACAAGGGAGGAGCTGGTCAATGACCTGAAGAGAGCTGGGACCACAGTTTCAAAGGTCACTGTCGGTAGAACACTACGCCGTCATGGTTTCAAATCATGCATTGCACGGAAGGTTCCCCTGCTCAAGTCATCACATGTCCAGGCCCGTCTGAAGTTTGCCAATGACCATCTGGATGATCCAGAGGAGGCATGGGAGAAAGTCATGTGGTCAGATGAGACCAAAGTAGAACTTTTTGGTCTAAACTTCACTCGTCATGTTTGGAGGAAAAAGAAGGATGAGTTGCATCCCAAGAACACCATCCCTACTGTGAAGCATGGGGGTGGTAACATCATGCTTTGGGGGTGCTTTTCTGCGAAGGGGACAGGACAACTGCACTGTATTAAGGAGAGGATGAATGGGGCCATTTATTGTGAGATTTTGAGCAACAACGAAGGAGTGGCTCCGTAAGAAGCATATCAAGGTTCTGGAGTGGCCTAGCCAGTCTCCAGACCTAAATCCAATAGAACATCTTTGGAGGGAGCTGAAACTCCGTGTTGCTCAGCGACAGCCCCGAAACCTGACAGATCTAGAGGAGATCTGTGTGGAGGAGTGGGCCAAAGTCCCTGTTGCAGTGCAAACCTGGTCAAGAACTACAGGAAACCTTTGACCTCTGTAATTGCAAACAAAGGCTTCTGTACCAAATATCAACACTGATTTTCTCAGGTGTTCAAATACTTATGTTCAGCAGTGCAAGACAAATACATTCTTTACAAATCATACAATGTGATTTCCTGAAGTTGTTTTTAAAATTCTGTCTCTCAGAGTGGGAATGCACCT